GTATATATATATTTTATTATTATATTTAATTACTATTGAATAAAGCTGAATTTATAAATTTGCAAAAAATGTATATTTAAATCCAAGTTAATAACAATAAAAAATATTGAATTATAAATTTAGCTTTATAAAATGCCAATATAGATAATTATTAAACAACCCTTCACCATATTTAATAAAAATATTGCTAAATTTTTAACCTTTAAAATGATGCTAAACCCTTCACCGTATTTCATAAAAATATTATTAAAAAACGTTAAGATAGTAAGACAATAACAAGAATGCGATCATAATTATAAGTATATATATTTTATTATTATATTTAATTACTATTGAATAAAGCTGAATTTATAAATTTTCAAAAAAAATGTATTATTAAATCCAAGTTAATAATAATAAAGGGCATTGAATTATAAATTTAGCTTTATAAAATGCAAATATCGCTAATTATGAAAAATATTATGAAACAAAATATACTACATATCAAATGCTTCATAATTAAGTTTATATTTATTTTAGAACTGCTAAATTTGATACATCGAAAATACAAAATACAATCGTTTCAACGAATAAGCTGCTATTTTTATTATGTATATTTATATTAGGTAAATATATAATATGCATGATACAAACACATGATAAAAATTTTAGGAAAAAACATTTTTGTATATTATTAAAAATAATATATAAAGAAATATTTTATATATTATTATAACCATTAAAAAGATTTTTGTAAATATACATATAGGCAAGATAGGGGCTATCTGTAGCAAGAGCAAGTATAACTAGTAACAGACGTTTTTCAATGGGTTCGTTTACGATAATAAAATAATGTATTGCCTAGATTGTAAAAGTAAAATGCATGCCCTGCATAATATTGTCATAGAAAAAGACGTAAAAACAGAACTGTGCAGGTTAAAGAGTAAAGTTTGTTCCTTAGTTTTTCTAGAAAGTATTTAATTGTGAAATAATGAATAACAGTTGCATATAAATTCTCATGTCACGATGCTTGTGATTTCTAAACTGTTTGACCGTTTTTCATGAGATTTCATATTCACATTGAGTAGGCCTGATCATTTTCTATCAAAATTTATTTGTTAAACAGAAATATTTATTATAAAAATCTTCATTTTTTTGGCACAGTACTACTCATTATTATGCATGGTAATGTGCCGACACCCTTATGTCTCTATGTGCCAACACCTTTATTCACTATCTATTTCTATGAGTTCATAATCAATTTCCACTCGCTACTATGGACTCTACGTTCTATGGGTACTCTATATTTCCGGCAAGACGCGGGCTTTTTGGAACAAGCGCAAGGAAACACTCTTTGGAAGACAAGCTGACTTAATCGATAACCTACTCAATTTTAAATGAAGTACTCATAGTTCTGCTATTTAATAAATGCATTTGAAGTTGTGCTTTATGTAAACTTTTATCTCAATCGAAAGGCAGTCATAATAATATATATAGAAATATTTGATATTTTTCCTATAACTTTTGTCATGTGTTCAAAAATGTGTGCCGCAAATTGCAGCCAGAAGAATAATCACTATAATATTCAAATATAAACTTACGAATTTAACTCAAAATAAAATAAAATAAACTAATCGTTTTACGGAAAGCGAATATCCTTTTATCACGATGGCCGGGATGTCATTGACTTCACAAACGCATCCCGCTTGATAAGGCAACCGTGGATCCATGGCTTTGGCGGCCGAACAATCGTCGGCGACGTCTGTATAGATCTACAAGTGTTCTTGTCATATCGTATTATCAGAAATATTTCGTCGGCCAGCTTTCCGTCCTACATAGATTTGCACTGGCTATCTATTGCGTCCGGTACTCTCACTCTCTGACCGACATAAACCGTCTCGGACGCGGACATCAGATTGGGAAGATGGATCAACGTCAGAGATTGCAAGATTTATATGATATTGACTTCTTATCAAATAAGTAGTAATGATAATTTATTAATTATGTAAGATCTATTTATGCTCTAGTCTTCTCATTTTCATAGCATCAAATCAAGCATCTCAGCTATCCATTAAGCACTGTTCACACGACGCTTGTTTTCTCTCGGCTGAATAGCATGCTTGATTTTGTCGCGGATGTCGGCGCTAGATTTCATGATAGTTCCGTCTGCATCACATAATGTGAGAAAGCTTGCATTGCTTGAGCAAGATTTGTTTTAACTTGCCGGATTTTTAAATGTAATAAACCACATGTCATAATACTGCTTCTCTTTTGGTTCGAACGAACGAATCCATCCACAACAATGCCGCACGTTTAATGAATCCAAATCACACGAGGCTTGTTTCGTTGCTTTTTTGGCCTTTTGGCTAGCATGCTGCTTGTCAAGTCGGTAAAATGTCATGATGGAAAAGTGAGAACGTGCGTTATATTTGAAGATGAATTCGTTCGTTCGAACCAATAGGGAGGCAGTATTTGGTCATGTAATTTACGATATTTAATAATCTAGCAAGTTAAAAGAAATCACACTCAAAAATCTAGTAAGTCAAAGCAAATCACACTTAAAAACCAAACATGCTGTGTGGCCAACCCGAACAACAAATGTCGTTCGATTCGGTATTTATATTTATTTGTATGTATTTATATTTATTTATTGATTTTGGTATAGATTTATGTAGAAACTTGGATTTCAATATATAATATGGATTATATTTTATAAGAAGAGTTAATCATATTGGTTTCTACTTAATTAAAAATACAATATTATTATACAAAATATAATATGATATTGATTCGAACAAACGAATTCATCCACAAAAATAGCACACGTCTTAATATCAAAATTTCGCTTGCTAGAAACAAATGGAGATCGATACGACGTCATTTTGGTTACTTGACAACCAGCATGCTACCCAGCAGACCAAAAAAGCAACGAAACAAGCCTCGTATGATTTGGACTTTGAACGTGCGCTATTTTTGTGATGGATTCGTTTATTCGAACCAATAGGGAAGCAGTATTTCGGCATGTGGTTAATCACATTTAAAATTCTAGCTAGAACAAATCTCGCTCAGGGCAAGCAAGCTTTCTCGCATTGTGTGATTTGAACGGCTTGAAAATCTGTCATGAAATCTAACTCAACAAAATCAAGCATGCTGTCTAGCTCAGAAAACAAGCGTCGTGTGAACATACCTTTATACATCATACCTAATACCAATGTTATATTCAACTATTCCAATATTATATGCGTATAATATTTTTTGTATAATAATATTGTATTCTTAATTAGGTAAAAACCAATATGATTAACTCTTCTTATAAAATATAACCCATATTATACATTGAAATATAAGTTTCTACATATAAAAACAATATAGCTTGCTAAATTTCAAAGTTTTACACGAAATATTTGCTTAGATAAATTTTATAGGTCTAATAGAAACTTAAAAATAACAATTATAATTTAGCAAAGTACAAGCGTAGTTTTAAAATCTGCATAAAAAATTTGGCTATTTGATATGCATGTGTAAACTATTCATTTTTGCCTTCATCAAATCGCCTCTGCGCTTTATCAGTTTGAATCACGTGTTTTTGGAGCTAAATAAATCGTTTCAGCCGATCGCTCCAAAATGTAAAAGATTCTACCGCACTTAAATATTTTACACATGCACCTAAATGATTCCATGTTAACTTGAAGTTTAAATGAAGGTGGTCATGAAACATAAATAAAAATAATAAAGATTTTTTTTTTAATTTTGAGAAATTTTAAAGGCTTACCGTATTGAAAACAAAAGAAAAAACTCTATATTTAAGCTGTATTAAATTACAGATATGATAAAGATTTAATGACATTTAAAAAATTCATTTATTCGCAAACGTTTTTCATTAGAAAAGAATTTGATTAACATATTACAAAAAAATTATATTTATATTATATTCTCATATTCGCTTTAGGTTTTCTTATATTGGTCTTTAGAAATAAAACGTAAATATATTCGACAAAATTATTTCAAATAATTCACACGATTCAAGCAAAATTTACAAATGAATGATTATTAATTTCTCCGTTGCCACTGTAAATTTTCTTTTTTATCACAACAATGATGTGATAAATCCACAAACTTTTACTACAAAAATTTTAGAATAAAAATGTATCAAAGTCTACTTCTCGTACAAAAATATAGATATATTCTATGCGCGGAGCACTAGTGAGACACTCATAAAAGTTTGCCGTTAATGGGCATGCTTTTCAAAAGAACTTTGATGTGAATCGGTCACGGGGTGCGAAGGAATACTCGGAATGAGTTACGTAGCGCGGATAAAAGGTGATTTTTTTAAGGGATGGGCGGTGGTTCGATGGGGTGGTTTTAATGTCGGAGACACGTGTCGCGTCGATCAGTCACGTGGGGGCGTTGTAAAATATCACACGCGGCGCGTCGCCTCGTGGCCCCACTCTCACCAACGTGCTGCTACGCGAAGATTCGCCCGTAATATTTTTTACGTCAGAACAGGGAGGTTAATTATATGGCTTTCCAATGTCAGGCAATTAAATGTTTTTGCCTTACATTTCGGGAATACGTGCACGCAAACTCTTAAATGCAGACACACAGTGACACAGTCGAACACATACACAAACGTCGGTCCAAAAAATCTTTCCGACCTTATTGCAGTTGAAATAGTTAACAATCACAAGCAATTTGTCATTTAAGCAATATTATTTCACTCTTTTATTTATTCAAAAATTTAAATTATTCTTTAAGAGCCTATTTTTGACATTCAAAAATATTACTTAGATAACAAAATATTATTCTCTTGATGAACGATATATAATCACAAGTCACGACACAAATGTGTTGGCCGCTTGACAAGGGGTTAGAACGTAATTACACCTAATTTAATTGCTTTCATAAAACAACCCTGTGTTATGCAACAAACTGTACTTTTGGTATCTTGTCGGTAACACTAGCTAAAAAATACTAATAATATTTTAAGTTAATTGTTTAAAAATTTGAATGTTTTGATGTTACTATCTTTTGTCCTAATTAATTAAACATTAATGCAATAAAGTTAGCTTAAAGTCATTCTGAACTGTCAACTATTTTTTTTTAATTTCCAAAAATTTCCTGGCTTGGCTTTTTTCCAAATTATATACTATAGCAAATTTTGTCGAAATATTTCCTCAAAGAATTGCTTCAATGTGTATCTCTGGTTTATTTCGAGTTTTCAGATACCACAATAAGTTTGTCTATAAAAATTTTTTGTGCATTTTTTCGACATTTTGATTTACTCACGAGAACTTCTCTTAAAATCTTTTTTAATGCCTTGTGTTTTACCTTCATTTTGTATGCATTTCGACTTACTTCATGAGCATCAGTAATCATTTTTTCTGCCTTCATCATCATTTGCTCTGCTTTTCGGTTTAAATTTTCAACAGATCTGGAAATTTTATCGCTTTCTGCCATTTCATCAATATGTTCACTTGTTTCTATGGCATCTTCGTTTATATAAATTGGAGATTCTGACCGCTTCCAGCTGCGGCCGCTTGTTTGCGCCCCTGAACTGGAATTAACAATATGTGACAAATTTCTTTCGGCGCTAGATATGACTGTTCTAGAATGTTCACCATTACTACGAATAATATCTTTAGTATTGGAATAGACACTTTCTGCATCCGAATTTGGATTGCTATTATCGTATTTTTTTCTTTCAGAGTTATTAACTTGATTTGTTTGGCAATTGTTTATTTGCCGTACTTGGGTTTTTGTCTTACAAAAAGCTACAGATAATATTTTTTTCTTATTATGTTCGTTATCGGATTCTATATAATCAGAATTATTATCTTCATCGTTATTAGAAACGACATCGTCATTAGATCTGCGTTCTAATTGCTCATCATCAGTATCTTTATTATCAGCGTCTGCATCAGTTTGCTTATTTTTATTTTTCATGGCTTTGTCAGTATTACTATTGGTAATATTTTGATGTTCATCAGAATCAGCACGAACTTGCATTATACGTTCCATATTTACTTTGTTGTCGTACATATTGTATCGAAGTTTTTTACTTTCGGGTTCGCTGAGTGTTCTGCCACCGCCTTCATCCTCATTATCATTACGATTTATTACATTTTTTTTATCATCGCCAAATTTATAAACATCTTTTGCAACGTTTCTGATTTTAGCATATTCTCTTTTGTTTCCTTGTGTACATTTAGATAATCTTGCTTCATCTTTTTCTCTTTCTTCTGATTTTTGGTTTGGTTGTTCTGAACAACTTTTATTTTGTTTGTTTTCATCCACAACCTTATCAAAATTCATATTGATATCTTTATTTATTAAATAATTGTTATTTTTATTGTCCAAATTATATTTAGATCGCTTGATTATTTTTTTCCTGCATTTATCATCTGAATCTGCAGTGGAATGTTGTTGAACGTGTGCATCGTCCTCTGATTTCTCACTTTCAGAATTACCTTTATTATTTTCATCTGAGATATTTTCAGCCTTGTTTGTATTTTGGCGTATTTGTTTATAGAGCTTCTTCTTTTTTAAATCATTGTTTGACATAGTCTCGGGCTTTGTGTGTAACGCATTGTCGTCTGATAGTTGCGTTACATGATTTATTTCTTCGATTTGTGCATGTTGTTGATTCAAATTTTGTTCACTGTTTTTTAAACGCCAAGTATATTTATTTAAATCAAAATATGTAGCTTTGTTGTTTATTAAGGTAAATGCTAGATTTCCTCTATCACCACATTCATATTCTTCTTCAGATTGCGATACAAATTTTGCTTCAGACCCACTTCCATTTACAGTTTCGTATTTATTATGTCGATTGCTTTTATCAGAATTAGAAAAAAAAATCCCATTAGCTTGTATCTTAAACACATTTTCATCTAAAATTAATTCTTTCACACGATGCTTTTCATCAGATTTCAATTCTGGTAAAAAGTCACTTAGATCTGCCGGTTCACTAGATGTTGTTTGAGTTGAACTCGTTTGATTGACATTATTGGATTTGCTATTTATGCTACTTTTATCTTGTTCAAGTTGGATTCTTTCCTTCATGTGACATATCATTACTTTAATTAGATGGACGAGACTATCTTTATCTTCACTTTCAAAAATTTCTTTTATTAAATATTCTATTGCTCTTGTTTTTACAATTTCTCCTAGACTCGATTTTCCAGGACTCGATTTCCCAGGACTAGATTCCCCAGGACTTGATTTTTCAGGTCTTGATTTTCCAGGACTCCATTCACCAGGACTCGATTCCCCAGGACTCGATTCACCAGGACTCGATTTCTCAAGACTCGATTCCCCAGGACTCGATTCCCCAGGACCTGATTTTCCAGGACTCGATTTCTCAGGACTCGATTCCCCAGAACTCGATTTTTCAGGACTCGATTTCTCAGGATTGGATTTTCCAGGACTCGATTTCTCAGGACTCGATTTCTCAGGATTGGATTCCCCAGGACTCGATTTCCTAAGACTCGATTTCTCAGGACTCGATTTCTCAGGATTTGATTTCTCAGGATTCGATTTCTCAGGATTCGATTTCTCAGGACTCGATTTTTCAAGGCTTGATTTCCTAGGACTCAATGTTTCAGGACTCAATTTCTCAGAACTTGAATTTTCAGGACTCAATTTCTCAGGACTCGATTTTTCAGGTCTCAATTTCTCAGGACTCGATTTTCTTCGACTCAATTCTCCTGAAATCGATTTTCCAGGCATCGATCCTTCTGAGTTCGATCCTTCTGGGTTCGATCCTTCTGGGTTCGATCCTTCTGGGTTCGATCCTTTTGGGCTCGATCCTTTTGGGCTCGATCCTTCTGGAATCGATCCTTGTGGGCTCGATCCTTCTGGGCTCGATCCTCCTGTGCTCGATTTTCTTTGGCTTGATTCTCCTGGTTTTGTTTCTCCTGAGCTTTTTTCTCCTTTTTGGTTTACTACATCAGCAGTATTACCAATATTAGCAGAATCTTTAATGTCATCTTCCATGAAATTACCGCTATTAATTAAATCCTTAATGTCTTCTTCAATGAAATTTTGTGAATGAGGATTTCCACTATATCCTATATCCTGAAGATTATAGTCTGCACATAATTGCAAAAATTCTTTTTTGTCTAAATTAGTTGTTTGTGGTTGTGAAATTCGATTAACTATTAGTTGATATGGCACAAATGTGTTATTTTGTATACAAGGATTTTTTACATCAATTTCATTTTCTTGTAATGATTTTGCTTTGTATTGATGATCATTTATATTTTCTCTATTATTTGGGATCACATACTTTTGTTCATGCGCTTCTGGAGTCATAGTTTGCTGTACATGGGCACTGTCTATATTTGTGGAATCGATTGGCCGATCATGAATTTTCATTGTTTGCGATTGGCTATTAACATTATTGGAACTATTAATTGAAAATCCATGTCTAAAGGAATTTTGTTGCTGATTTGATGAAGACGCATTATTTTGGTTTATCTGAAATGTTTCTGGATTATGAGTTTCATGAGAAGAGTGTCCAGTATCTGGAATGAAGTGATTGACTTCTGGCATTATCATCTGCTTTGCTGGATGTCTCCTCGGTTGAGGGCGACACACTAGTGCCGGTGGCACACACACCATTTTTTCATCTGGTTTGTCTGAATGTTGTAAAACTTTCATTATTAGTGCATGATTAATTTCAGGTTTAGAATCTTCCAGAGACCTTTTCAGAAAAACTTCTGAATTCATACAATTTGATGATATCTTAATGGCATGGACCCTTGTTTTACCTATAACATCAGACGCCAATTGGTTATCTTTAAATAATGATTGCGTACCGGTGAACCGTATTTCTTTATCAGATAATAGTCGTATTAATTCTTCACCAGAAAGTTGATATATAGGAGACGGAGACCATATATCGCGTTTATTTTCTCTAATTCTCTCTAATTTCTCCTGAAGATGGACACACATTCTAATTATATCGCCGTTACGTAGAACTAATGTTTTTTTCTCTTTATTTTCAGTTTCGAAGTTCAGAATTTGGATGTTTTTTTCATCTTCATTACCGTTCCTCTCATAGCCCGGGGATGTGGAATCACTTTTGCGCGCATTAGTGATACTCATTGTAAATCATATAAGATTTAAAATATCTATATATTGTTTTATTTGAATTTTTTCACTTCTGTTAAAGGTTTCTTGCCTATAACCACAATTTTCCTTCTTTATAATTAACTCAATTAAAATAGAACATCATCATTATATCAAATGCGATATCAAATTAGAAACTTATACGGAAGTTTAGTATCAGCTGAAGTATCTACTAAATACCTAAAAAAAAGCAGCATTACGCATTATATATGTTTTATCACATAATATTACAATTAAAACTTTCATCATAATTATTGTCTCTAGCTGAGCGGACACAATCACATCACAAAGTAAACTGTACCGTAAATTATTTCTTTATTACTATAAATGGCTGCTTGAGAACAAAATACGTAAAAATTTAACATTAACGATTTTGATGTGTACCTACGTAAGGGTGTGTACATTAGTCAATATATTTCGTTTTGATTCTATTTATTATAACTATGAATAAAATTATTTCTTGTTAAAAAATAATCTTATTATAATATATGTTTTTATATAACTTTTTTCTGTTATTTTTTGTACACATCATGTAATACCCTTTTACCTCAAACAACTCGGTGCAATTTCCCGATCAGACAGTGAAGTAATAATAATCAACTTGAAGAAAGCTAAATTATTATTGAAATTGTATCTTCATGTCAAGAGGCCATATCAGAAAACTAATTTCCTTTACATATCGCTTCATATGATCACCCCTCAATCTATGAACAAGAATTCGTATACCCGGGTTCTTTGATTTTTACCCGCGGTAACTATTTCTGTCTTTATATTTGCTGAACAATTATTATATATCAAGATGGGTTTTTAATTTAAACATCTAGTTCTTAAAAATATTTAGATTTTTAAGGATAATAAATAATAGACGCAAGGAAATTCAATTGTTTGAAAAAAAGTTTATCATTGTTTCGTAAAACTCGTCAAGTTTTAATGCATCTTTAAATAATACAAACAGGTGATTTGACCTCCCTGAACGTTTTATAATACAGAATTTGTTACAATTTTTTTCTTTTTATCATTCGGCATATCTTATATATAAAAATGGAGCTCGATAAAATAATTCGCTAAAATTCGAAAACGGCTGAACCGATTTGGCCAGTTTTAGTCTTGAAAAATTCGTGCTAATCGCGTAGAAACTTTACATTTTTAATTTGAGATTTTTGTAGAAGCGTAATTTAAATAAAACAACGCTTTTGACAGATGATGTTCAATTACGTTTAATAGGATGTTTTACGTGAATATTATTTAATTATGATTAAATTGTAGTGAGTAGTTTTGTAAAAACGTTATTACACGGATCGCAAGTGTTACTAGAATCTCAAAATATCAACTTTTTTGAAATGTTAATATGAAAATGCACATTTTGACGTTGTAGCACTATTTTTTTGCAAATCATATTTTTCTCAAACACGGTGCTCCGAAAGATCTCATTTGTATAATTATATACTCATTGGTATTTATAAAATATTTTCCAGGTTATATTATTTTTTATTTGTGTTATTTAAATTCAGAACCTAAATTTGATATCGATTAAAGGAACATTTTGTCGAATAACAATTTTTCAGTTCCCAGAATTTATCGAAGAATAGATAGTAATATATGAAGGTCCGGGGTTAAAGAGGTCCAGCACCAATGAGTCAAAAACCAGTAAAGTTAAGCATTGTTTAACAATGTAGAAAGTAGAGGGAAAAAGATGTATAACCAGCTGTACCTTGATTCTCATGACCCTGCTATCGGGAGATGAACGGTAATCTTTGAAAATGCATAATAATAGTATTTTCTTCCGTTGGTAGTTTTTTAGCGTTAGTTAAAAATGTAATTATTTTGCAAAATACCTTTAAAATTGAAATAAGATATTAAACCTGTTTGCCACCTGGCCGTTCCAAGTTACACCGCCTATAGGGTAAAAAGGTCTAGATAACAAATTTTTCAAGACATTAAAAAAGCACATTTCTACAATGATGAAGTAGCTGGCAGTTTTTCTGAAGGTAGTCAGATAATTGTTTATTTGAAATGTGTTATTTGTGGTGATATAATTGTTTTGGTTTTCACAAAACAGGGCGAGGCACAAGTCAAATTGAACCTTTGTGTCTGTTTTTTGAATTTTTCAAATCAGACGCTCCGTTCTCTTAAAAACCGAGTTACCGTTTTTGGCACTTTTTGCCCCATATCTTCGGAACGGCTAGAACTGCCTTCGCCAAAAACTAATCAGCACGTCTCGTTATCAATACGAATCGAATGATTTTTTAATTATTCAAATCGCTTCATCCGTATTCCCGAAATCGTCGACGAAAATTTGTATCCGCACACACACACATACACGCACACACATACACGCACACACAAACACACACATATATCCATTTTTTCTAAGGTATGCCAAAATATTCAGAAACCTTTGAAACGTAAAGATATATAAAAATTTTCATTTTCGATTTTTTTGCGATTACTATAACTTGCCCTACGGGAAGTTAAAAATTAGGACTTGTGGCAGACAGTTATTTAGTTTCTTAGCAGTTTTTGCTAATTTTTGTTAATTAAAATGAAAGTTCGCAATTATTAATGTGAAAGACAGTGACCTTCCTTTGAAATTTTGTATTCAAAAGTTTTTTATTCATGACGTTTTGTTTCATATAAGCATGCTCGTTGTATATATCAGTTTCAGATAATTAATATGTCGTTGTAATTTTATTGTGAAGTAATTGCCAAAATTGAATTTAAACCTATACTTTTCGAAAACTCAGGACAATCCGGATCAAATAAAGTTTCAAGAAAAATTCGGGACACAAGGTGTGAATCCAAGACTATCCCTGCCCAAATGGAATGTATGGTTACCTTAATACTTGTTAATACAGAATCTTATGAAATCAGTTTTTTGCAAATGTCTTGTTAATCATTTTTTTTATTATTATATGTTTAACAGCAATCTGAACCTTACGTCCTATGAGCTGTTGGGCTGAAACTTCTTCTCACTTCGTATTTTTAGATGGCAACCCAATGGTTAATCCATCCATATTTGATGATTTTTGTTATTAGAATTAATCTAATAGAGCTGACATTTTATTGGTGCAGCAATGCCGGGCAAGGGCTATTTTCACTTGGAAACATATTGCTATCTATATTTCCAAGTGAAAATCGTTGTCACTGCTGCCTGACAACAGGCTGCTCGAAGTGGGTATCGAACCCGGGACCTCTGAAACAAGTCCCGTCGCTCTTAACCGTTTACCAAATGGGCGAGCCCATTGTTAAACATTAACTGACATTATGCTTATCATAAAGTGAAAACAAGCAATTGTCCCTAAAAATAAGCGTACTTATCACAAGAGTTGATATGTTGGAGTAACAGTATTCCCATGTACGACACCTATCTCGGAGACGCCTGGCGCCCTAGAGCCGCTGCATTTTCTGTGAGGTCCGACGGTTCAACCGGAAATAGTGCGACAACCAGTACTTTGTTTACATTGAAACAGCTCGGTCGCTCTGGACTCCCACACGAAGGCAAAAGTCACCTCTTCTCTAGCGGCACGAATATCTCGCCAGTCCGCTTGTTTACACCTTGTATAGCAATAACATCCTAACAATAATACGAGACCGTACTACTGCACGGCACTATGACACACAATGAATCATGTGCAGCAAATAAATAAATAAATCATAGATGTGTATCACATGGGCTTGTGTATAAAATTTTATTTCTTGTTGTCTACGAAGTATGTATAGAAATGTATAAGGTTATCATAGCCATATTTTATGTGTCCGTTAAGCGGTTAAGAGCGACGGGACTTGTCAGAGGTCCCGGGTTCGATACCCACTTCGAGCAGCCTGTTGTCAGGCAGCAGTGACAACGATTTTTACTTGGAAAAATATAGATAGCAATATCTTTCCTAGTGAAAATAACCCTCACCCGGCATTGCTGCACCAATAAAAATGTCAGCCCTATTAGATTAAATCTAATAACAAAAATCGTCAAATATGGATGAATTAACCATTGGGTTACATTCTAAAAATACGAAGTAAGGAGAAGTTTCAGCCCAACAGCTCATAGGACGTAAGGTTCTGATTGCTGTTAAAAATATAACAAAAAAAAATGTGTCCGTAAGAAGGATATTCTTTATTTTTTCCAGAAAATTTTATTCGTTACTTTTAGAACTATTTTTTCGCCCGTTTCATTATAGTTAACTCTTAAAATTTTGTTCAGTATAATATTTTTAAAAATTCAATAATAGATCAATGTTAAGTCGAGGCTATGTTACGTAGAAGTTTTCATACAGACGCGGAGTGTTTATGGTAAATACCTTAAATGTGATTAAAAGAAAAAATAAGTTTTATTAAATAATCAAATTTTTTTGAATCAAATCAAATCAAATAATAAAAATCAAAATAATAAAATCAAAAAACTGCCATCTTTTACACATTTAGCTCCGTATCTTTGAAATAACTGGGCCTGCCTTTGCCAAAAACTAATAAACACTTCTCCCAATCATTACTAATTGAATGTTTATTAGATCATTCAAATCGGATGCTCCGTTCTCTCAAAAACTCGATTTCTATTTTCTGCACTCTTTGCTCTTTATCTCCGTAACTGCTGGACCTGCCTTTGCCAAAAACTAATTAGATCAACTTCCTATCAATAGGAATCGAATGTTTTTTGAACCATTCAAATTGGTTGATCTGTGCGCCCGAAAACGTGACTGGAAACTTGTATCCATACATACATACACACACACATCCATTTTTTCTGAGGTATGCCAAAATCTTCAGAAACCTTCAAAACGTCGAGAAATGTAAAAATTTTCAATTTCGATTTTCGGCCCATTACAATAACTTACCCTAAGGAAAGTTAATACCCTACGGAAAGTTAATATTTAAATGGATATTTTGTAGTTATATTTATTAGACATATTCACTATTTCAATGATTCTAACTAATTCTAGAATCCAAATTATGTTATAATTCTATCTCTATGTTACTCATGT